GTGTGTGTGTGTGTGTGTGTGTGTGTGTGTGTGTGTGTGTGTGTGTATAATTGGGTGATTCCTAGAGATACTGGCTCAAAAAATTAGGCAGCGCCTGAGCGATGAAGGTGACCTTCACACATAGCACACATGCACACACACAGTGTGAATAAACCTTTACCCAGCCTGGAAACTGAATCCTGACACATTTTCAGAAACACCAGAACCCCTCCAGTTGAGGAAGAAGAAACACACCCTTCTTAACTGTTGAGGTCTCCACATTTTTATTTTGTACCAGGCCCTTGCAAGTTAACTAAGAGTTCTCAGGAAGAGATAGTGGACCCACACATACAGAGTATTAGGCCAGGGTGTGGAAGTGCACAGCTGTCATCCCAGTCTGAAGGCTGAGGCAGAAGGAATATGGAAGTACCAATCCCACTGGAGTTAGACGTGAGTGAAGCTGGAGTCAATGGCAGCTTATCCTGTCTGGTCACGGGTAGGTGATGGGCAGCTGAGTGTATGTCCTGTTAGGCCTAGATTAGCGGAAAGCCTGTGGGAGGTGGGTCTCCATGCCTGCTGGTCATCTTCCTAATGGCTTGCCGTTCTCTGGCGCCCCCTATAGGACCATCTGTCTTACTTCCACTTTGTGGGTCGCATCATGGGTCTGGCTGTGTTCCACGGACACTACATAAACGGGGGCTTCACAGTTCCATTCTACAAGCAGCTCCTGGGAAAACCCATCCAGCTGTCGGACCTGGAGTCAGTGGACCCAGAGCTGCATAAGAGCTTGGTGTGGATTCTGTAAGTGTCACCATCCTGTCCCACAGCCCCAGAGTTCATGCTGCTGCTGTGTGCACATTGTTTTGGGGGATAGGTGTGAAACTAAAGAGAGTAACAGAATTAACTATAAAACATCAAACATTGGGCTGCGATTACAAATGAACAAAGCAGATGTGATCATTTAATTGACTTGTATTCTTTTCGAAAGCTTGTTTGGCTTGTTATTAGGTTTGATTACAAATGCCAGCCAGTAACTTTTCTTGGTTTGTGGGGGTGGGGGGGTTGGACATGCACCCATATTGTTTCTCAGGAGATCTGCAGAAGGCAAGAGAAAGTTTCAAAACAAAATTCATGTTTAGTTACCTTTGTTTTAGAGTTAACCAAAATGCTTTGCAGGGTGGCAGAAACAGGGTAAACCTGTGTACCTCTGGAAGACCCAGGCCCTCACAGGTTGAGGATGCTGCTGTGTGGAGTTTGGCCTGAGACAGGGATGCGGAGGGGTGTTCCTCCTTGGCCTCGCTTGTTCCACTGTACAGGGCCGTGGGGAGTAGGGGCTTTCCTGTGGGGAAACACTTGTCAAGAAGTAGGGCAGATAAAGAGTCAGCCTGACATCTCCAGTGCTTTTTGTAGGAATGGTAGCCTTTGAAAGGCTGCCTTAAGAGGAGAGAAGCCTCTTTGTCCTGGCTTGTGTCCTTTTGATTTAGCTGCCACTTCATAGGCCTCCTCGCAGATGTAGCTGGCTTCATGTCCCCTGGTGTCACAGGATGGCTGAGTGATACCCCCATGAGTGGTCATCATAAAGTCAGGGACAGAACTTTGACCTGCCAGCTGTCTGCACTGCCCTCTTCAGCCCCCTTAGGACTCCCTGGCATAGGCCTAACCAGCCTTCACCTGTGTCTACAGAGAGAACGACATCACGCCAGTGCTGGATCATACCTTCTGTGTGGAGCACAATGCTTTTGGGCGGATTCTTCAGCATGAACTGAAACCCAATGGCAGAAATGTGCCCGTCACTGAGGAGAACAAGAAGGAATATGTCCGGTAATATGCAGGGCTGGCTTCAGTGGCGAAATGGAGGGAGCTGGTGCTGTCAGGGGCACCTGATGTAGACACTCCATGTGGCTGCCAGTGTGTCCAAGGAGGCCATGACAGCATCCCAGTGCCAACCTGAGGGACTTATGCATACTGGCAATCTGAACTGTGGGTGGGTCATACGGTCACACATGCTCTGCAGACCCATTTGAAATCTTGGCAGTTCTGGAAGGTCTCATCAAGGCCTCCTGCTTTTTAGTGGAAAACCAGAATGGCAGAAGTGGTTCCCTTCTAACTTGCTATAAAGGCTGGGTGTAGCATGGTCGTGGTGCACGCTGTGAGTCCAGCACTTGGGAGGCTGACATAGGAGAGTTCTAGGCCATTCTAGGCTACATAGTGAGCTAACCCCAGCCTGGGCTTCCCAGACCCTTTCTCTGGATGGGGAGAGGAGAACACATGAGATGGATAAAGCCAGGTGGGACGGCATGGACCTCTATGAAAACAAGTTCAAGACCAGCCTGGGGTACATGGAACCTTGTCTCAGAAAGAGAGTAGAAAGGGCGAAGTGACGACTCAGTGGCTGAGCTCGTGCTGCTTCAGGGGACCAGCACCCCCTTCTGCCTCCACAGGCACCAGGCAGATGCAGAGAAAGCATGCATACGCTTAAAATAATAGTGATTAAATTGCAGTAATAATTAAGGATAAGACCAGACCTGCAAACTGAAAGCTACTAGGGAGGGTGGGCGCAGGCTAGTGTAATATAGAACCATTGGCAGGTTCTGTATTAACTTCATTTATGCTGTCACAGCCACTGTGGGGACACAGTGCTTTCAAGGTCCCTTCCCAATTACCTGCAACCCTCGGCTCTCCCTTTCAGGCTGTATGTGAACTGGAGGTTTATGAGAGGAATTGAAGCCCAGTTTTTAGCGCTTCAGAAAGGCTTTAACGAGCTCATTCCCCAGCACTTACTGAAGCCCTTTGACCAGAAGGAACTAGAGGTAAGTGCCAGGCATCCTAGGGACCTCGGACAGTGCGGCTCCTGGCAACCCTCTGTGTAGTAAGCGTGGTGGGGAAGGAGACTGAGGGCACCTGGATAACCTTGTCTCAGGCTGAGAAGTGTCTGTCTCCTTGCCAGCAGTTACTGACTCTGCAGGCATAGTCCCAGGTGTCTGTGCCTTGGGCTTATGGTAACCCTTGCCTCGGACCAGGCTTCCCCAGCCAGTTCTCTGCTCTCCACTCTGGCTATTCATAGACTAAGAACATACCGTCATGGCCTTAGACAGTGACTCATTCATCCCTTGCCAGCTCTGCCTGGTGCCAAGTGGCCTGAGCCTTCCAGATTGTTCTCATAGCCTTCTGCCCACTCTGAGACAGGGCTTTGGAGTAGAGCCTCTCTGTGCGGGGCAGTGAGTCTGGAGCAAGCTTTTAAACAAGTGGACAGCGTGCTCTAAGCCTCCTCATTCCACATGGCCTGTTGAGTTCTGTTAGCTGTTCCCAGTCACTCTTTCCTGGTGCACAGCAAACTCACACTCCAGATTCAGAGTGTCAGCCTACAGGTAGCTGTGTGACTGACTACAGCCCAGAGGGGTCTGCTTGGTTTTGGGAGTTGTACTGTCAATGTTTCTTGAGCATCCGGAGTATTAGAGGAGGGGGTGGTGGCAGTGTCTCGGGCATTTTATGGTAACACCCAGCCTGGTGCCCTTCCCCAGTTGATAATAGGTGGGCTGGACAAGATAGACCTGAATGACTGGAAGTCCAACACGAGGCTGAAGCACTGTGTGGCAGACAGCAACATCGTCAGGTGGTTCTGGCAGGCAGTGGAGACCTTCGATGAGGAGAGGAGAGCCAGACTTCTGCAGTTTGTGACAGGATCCACAAGAGTTCCTCTCCAAGGCTTCAAGGCTCTGCAAGGTGACTGACGTGGAGTCAGGGCCATTCCTGAGGTGGTGAACAGCAAGACTTGGAATGTGGTCCGTCCCACTAGAGAATGAGGGTGGCCAGTGTTCTCACCACAGATGCTTAGCAGTGGGGTGCCTGGCAGGTGTGGCTCACACTGGAGCCCCCCATGGGCCTATGGATCCCATGTGCTCTTTTAAAATCCAGGAGCAGCAGGGGCTACTGGTAGCTTCTGGTATACACAGCCTAAGATGTGTGTCCCCTTACCCTTCTTAAACCAACAGCCTAACCCCAGCCTATGGGGAGGTGGAGTCGGGTAGAAGGTGCTAGAGGTTAAATACTCCCGAACTTCAGTTTCGCTGGCCACTGGCTTCGAGACACTGAGCCCCCCGTATTCCGTAGTGATGCAGGACTGGAGACTGCAGGAGTGATGGGTCCCTCACCCAGCACCCTGACCGCTTCGCCCAGCACCCTGACCGCTGGCATCTCCACCTTCTCCCAGCCCAGGCTAACAGGAAACCTGGGCCTGCTGCTTCTCCCAACACTGAGGGGGTGGGCAGAGCAGGGTGTGTGGCCCCTCTGACATCATGGCCAAGGAGGCGGCCAGACTGCCCCTCCAGGAGCCCTCTCCCTACCACCACCACCACCACCACCCCCCGTACTGCCAGCCTTTGTCTTATGGATAGGAGTGTGTAACACACCCATCAGTACAACAGACTGGCTTCTTTAGCTTCAGCAGCAGGTGGCTAGGAAAAGCCACAAGCATCCAGGAAGAGCAGACTAGAGAACTGTCAATGGCTGGTGGCTTTCTGTCAAGTAAAGCATGGGGACAAACTAGTCTATGCCTCAGCTACCCCAAGAAGAGGTTCCTGGGCAAGCCATATCTAGGGGCTCTAAGCTCCCGGGCTTCAAGCATGCCAAACTGCCACAGGGCCCCATACTCCCATGCTCTGTCTCTGAAGTGCAGTAACTAGAATGTTGTCTTGTAAGGCTCTACAGGCGCGGCAGGGCCCCGACTGTTCACCATCCACCTGATAGACGCCAATACAGACAACCTACCCAAGGCCCATACCTGGTAAGCTCTGCCTCTGTGGGGTCATACGGCCTTTGTGTCTTCAATATAACCCTAGATCACACCCTAGGGTCAAGTGAGACAGGCCTGGAGTCAGCAGGTCCCACTGGGTCCTGCTTTGGGGATCTGATTTTGTGTGATGTACAGCAGTTAAGGGTACAGTTCCAACACTGGGGACTGTAACCTGAAGGCTCATGGGTGCTCCTTGGTTGTGTGCATGTGCGCATGTGCCTGGCAGAAAGGGGCAGCGATTGTCTGTCTGATGTGCACCTCCACATTTGCCTTCTCAGAACTTTATGGAAAGATTCTGTCTCAGGATCATTACCTTTCCTTGAGGGGTCTAGTCCCCAAGGTTGTTGAGATGCTGCATGGTGGGACAGAAGGTTTAAATGCTGGCTGTGACCTAATGAAGAGGTTTGAGATGAATGATTTTAATATATCCCAACTGTTGTTCACATCTGCAAGATGGGCTAATGCATCCATTCCCAGGACCGTGTATGTAAGACCCCAAGGCTGCCTCAGCATGGTACGGCTTGTGTCTCTACAGAATAGGCGTGTGGTGGTGACACATGGCACTGTGTCCCTTCAGAAGGCTTCTGTCCTTCAGTGACTTAGCATCTCTGATCTAAATGGGAGAGGGACAGAGGGAGGGAGGGAGGGAGGGAGGGAGGGAGGGAGGGAGGGAGGGACAGAGAGAACAGTACAGCCTTCACCCAGTCTCCACACCATTGCAGACTGCCCCGCCTGAGACTCACAGGCTGGTGCTTCTCCGTTTGTTGGCTTTTAAGTCACTGTGAGACAATAGATGTGTCTTTTTTCACAAATGCTTGAAAGGAGATTCCCTCTGGAAATCTTGAGCTCCCAGGAAGGTTGGCACACATCCATCTTTCTAGGGCTTGGTGTTGTCTTACTTTTGAGCCCCAGCATGCTGTAGTAGGGATTGACTGACCCTCAGTAGGTGGTCACCAGTGCACTTTACAGACAGGCCAGGGTTCTTCCCAGTGTGGAAAAGTGACACCCAGAGATAGAACAGCGAACAGCGAGTGTACAGGCTTACGTGTTGGTTGTGTACATCTGGACATTTTCACTGTGGGTTGACTGGAGGAAATACACACAGCAAACAGAACCTGTGTTGAAAGCTGAAGTGCTTGTGCACCTTCCCAAGGGCAGAGGAGCCGCCCTGCCCCCGCAGTGTGTCTGAGGGCTGGGTGGCCCGCAGTGACCCTGGCTCCTTTGTTCTCCTCTAGCTTTAATCGGATCGACATCCCGCCCTATGAGTCCTATGAGAAGCTCTATGAGAAGCTGCTGACAGCGGTGGAGGAGACCTGTGGCTTTGCCGTGGAGTGAAGAGCAGCCAGTGGCCACAGAGTCGCTCACAACCACCAGACCCAAAGCATATGGCGTCTGCACGCCTCCCGCATGGCGGGCTGAGGCCTGAGATTCCAGAAACCGAGGGAAAAGGCTCGTCTCCCTCCTCCTTTGGAGAGGGCAGACCAGGGGACTTTGATAGGTGGCTCCCACCAATTTATTTCTCCTTTATTATAGTTCACCCACCCCTCCATCACCCATCCAATAAAACGCAGCCGGGTTTGCCCTCAGCCTCCTTGGCATGGTGGGGAGGCTGTGGTTCTCCAGGAGCATCGGCCCATGGTCAGGACCAAGTGGGCCCTGAGGGGGTTTGTGTGGTCTCTGTACGAGCCTCCCCTCTGATTGTAGCCTCAAAGCCCCTTTTCAGGTTCAGCAACTGCCGATAGCTTACTGAGCTCAAATTCCAGAGGCGTCACAGGCTCGGGCCTGTTCAGGTAGCAGCAGTTCAGGTGGATTTCTAAGCAGGAGATAAAGGCACAGAGTATGCTTGCTGGAGCTCCACCATGGCAGGACACACGAGGCAAAATGGTCCCCTTGAGAGGGAAAGGAATTGCAGCAGCCTTCACTGGAAGCCCGGGGGCTTTTTTCACAGTATCCTGGCTGAAAAGGAGGTTTGCACAGGGGGGGAAAATCTTTAAAAGTACAATTTGCTGTGTTCTCTACCCAGTTTGAAGCAAAGAATAACCAACACCAGCCTCAGACCCCCCGGGTCCAGCTCTGCTCCTGTGCCTGGGGATCCAGAAGGCTCCTGCCTGTCTTGAAATGGACTTTTATATGGGGATTGCTAAGAGCTAAACTAACAGAACAATTTTGTCACCACAGCCACTGGATGGAACAGCAGCAGAGGCCGCTGACCTGGGGTCCCCCTAGGCAGCGCCCCAGGGTTGGTGCTGTGCACAAAGCAGGGTGTGATGGAGCACGTGGCAACAGGGTGGGGGCTTTACCTCCCTCATGGCCCTCCTCCCCAGTAGCAGCCGTGATGCTGACAGTTGGACTCAACTTGCTCAGTTTTTGTCTTCTGATGAGCAACGCCAAAGCCAGCCTAGCATCTCTAGCGCCACCTCCAGTCTGCACAAGGGTTCACAGGCGGGACTCTTGCAGCAGAGCTGCTGGATTCAGGCAGAGCAGCTGCCAGGTTTCCATTTGTAGTTTTGTTGTTTTTGTTTGTGGTGGGAGTGAGAACAGGGTAATTCATTAGCAAGACATTTCATTGGTACCAGGGTTCGGGTTCAGCCGCGAGTTCAGTTGTGTGGGGCATGATCGGGAAGGTCCTGTGGGGATACCAGCTTTTGTTCTTTCTGTTGCTTCCCCTTAGACTGGGGATAGGGAAGTCTTCCCTTCTGTTCCTGCTGCTTCTGTCCAGTGTGGTCTGGAAGCATTGGTGAGGTGATGCGGGAGGTGGATTCATAGGTCACATACACCCCTAACCCACGAGGTGTGTCCAGCTTGGCCACTGGCACTATAGAGCATGAGTCAGCTGCACTCTGGGTTGCCAGGTTTGGGAACAGAAAGGATGCTAGACAGACCTCACTGCACAAGGACCGAACCTGCCCCACCTCCCAGGCCAGACTGGGGCCTTACTAGTCTCTCAGCTCTGCCTTGCCCCAGTAGGGCTTCTGTACTTCACCTACCTTCACATGTCCGAGGGTGTTCTAAAGCCTAGCTCCCTCATGACTCGCGGATTTAAAAGGTACAAGGAAGCCTGTGCCCTAAGTCTCAGCCAGTCCGTAGGAAGCAGCCAGCCCCGCAGTGACACTCCTCCTGGAGACCGGAAACCCTGCCTGTTGCCTTTGCACACTGGCCCAGTCTGCAGTGATGAAGGAAACCAGGGTCCTGTGCTTCTGGGACGTGCTGCAGGAGTGTCAGGTCACACTGTTCATGCCGCGGGAGTGATAGGGGACAAGCCTTAGGAGTCCCGTGTCAGATGCCCTCTGAGGAGCTGACTGGTTGGTACACCACCCACTAAGGCTTCTAACAGCCGTCGTGCCTGCATTGCCTGCGGTCCCTCATTGCCAGTTCTAAGTGTCACAGCTTCCCCAGGTCCGTTCATGCCCAGCGCTGTCCTTCTTCGGTAGCGCTGCACTTCCTTGTCTGTCTACCATGACTAGGTCCTTCTGATGCTCCTCAAGTGACACTGCGTGGCTGGCCCACAGCACAGCTCCTGGTTGCCCTGCCTGGGTCTGGGTGAAGCCTTTTCCTGTAAGATCTCGATTGTCAGCCCTCCTGGTGGCCCCCACATCACCCAGACACTTCAGGAGCCCAGCTCTCCAGGCTCCCTCACCAGCGGCCGGCGGCCACACTCAGGGACGCAGCCAACACCACTCTGCTCCACAGTGCTTCAGCAAGGATGGGCCAGGCTGCAGCAGTCGGGTGGCAGCAGGTTGCAGTCTTGTGCTTTCTGTTAGGAGAATCTGCACAGGGAGGGCTGCTGACCCCTGCCCTGGCTTGGCCGCACGGTCAGGTCTGGGTCAGTCAGGTCAGGTGGACGCTGGACTGACCGTCTGCAGAGAACACGCCCCACCCTACTGCAGTCTGGGAGGCCACGTGGCAGCCTTCTGAAACGGTGTGGGTTTTTAAACTGTGTTTCTAATGTATTCTAATTTATTTTGTAAGGTCCTGTTGGAAGTGCTGCTGCTACCCCTAGTCCTCCCCCAGTTTTTACTGCCCATTTTCCTGTGACAGTTGTACACTAATGTTCTGTTTTATGTCAGAATTGAAAGTATTTAAAGAAATGCTAGTTCTATTTAATGCAGTTGTGGAACCAGCTGGAAACACAAAATGTTGACTGTAGAGCAGGCTGGACCCGGGAGGTCAGGTTCATTTTGTTACATATGCAATAAACTCACAACTTTATGTTTTTCTTTTTTTTCCTTTTTTTTTCTTTTCTTTTTTCTTTTTTTTTCTTTTGTTTTTTTCTTTTTGGTATGTCTGTTACTTTCTTGTGGAAACAAGATTATGGTGTATTTACTTTTACAAGCAATAAAGTCCACCCTCCAAGGAAATGAAGACAATCTAGAACGTTGGAGAAGACAAATGAAGATACCAGTGCTAAGCAGACACAGTAACTATATTAGTATATTCAGCCTGTCCCCACCACATCAGGCTCTTGGGGCAGCCTTGGGCCTTCTCTGGGGCTCCACCTGCCACTCCAGCTGCCCACAGTACAAGTGTACACAACTCTGTTGGAATCCAGGTCACAACTGCTGGGTCAGCGCACCCTGTGTGAACTTTTTGTGGATCCTTCCTACTGCAGAGGCGTCTCCTAACAATAGTACATCACCAACGATAGGATGCCACGCCTCCTCACAGGGCTCTCACACAGGAAGTGCTGTGTGGGTTAGAGCTTCTTTAGTCAGGACACTAAGCTCTGCTCCTTTCTTGGTCTTGGTCTCTTCCATCTGTGAGCAAATAGACTGGCTTGAGCTCAGCCGACTTCACTCAGGGTTGTCCTACTGAGGGGTTCAAGGTCAGGTGCTAACAGATTCTGTCTCTGGTGGCAGCCCCACCCCTACCATCGAAGCAGCAGGGGGAGGAATCCTGAGGTCTTGAAGTTCTACTTCATACCCAGTCACCTCCTGGGGCCATTGTCTGGAGCTTTGATGCAGGAATTAAGAGGGGGGAGGGGAAGGGGGGGACACAGAAACCACAGCCTCAGGCTCTTGCTTGTGCAGAGCATCCCAGAGACTAGCAGGCTGGTGTCACTCACCACTTGCCATCTCTACACCTGTTCTCCCACCTGCCAGGGAGTGCAGAGGGCAGTGTCCCCAGCTGGCGTAGCTGTGGGCCTGCAATTGACAGCTAGAGATGATGTGGTGAAAACCAGGTGACTGTCGTTGACTCTCATCCCCAAGCTTAGGGCAAACCTGGATGCAGGCTACACATCCAGGCTTTCTTACTGCCTCGGCCTAATGCAGGGACAGGGTGGGTGTCTTGAGGAAGGACACCCTCCACTCAGAATAGTCAGTTGCATGCAGAATTTTACTCTCACGCTAGGCTGGGCCAGCTCCTGGACACTGTGGGTCCCATAGCTGCCTCCCTCAGTCCTCTCCTGGAACGTCCTGGAGTGGCTCTAGAGTCCTGAAGTCCCACTTGGTGTCAGCAGGCTGGGTGACTAGGCCCCGCCCATCCAAGCAACCCCACAATGTAGCCTGCTCCCTTCCCACTTCACCACTCTGTTCTACTCACTGGACTCTTCTGCTACCACAGGAAGGGACAGGTTGGGAGACCCGACCCCAGACTGCCACCTCTACCCACAATGGCCTGTCCTTGCTCAGTAGTGACAATGTCCTTACCTGCCTGGCCACCTTGCTGCTGCACATCACTCTGGTCACAGGACCAAGCTTCGGGTGGTCACAGCACTGGGTGCTCCAGCAGGCCCAGGCCCAGTTCCCTCATATAGCTGTGGAAGGGTCACTTTTGAATTTTCAGATATGTCTGTTGTGGAGAGAAGAAAATGACACCAATTAGTTCTTACAGAAACAGTAGCATTCAGATTATCCCAGCCTGAGAGAAGTGGAGGCAGGAGGGTCAGGAATTCAAGATTATCCTTAGGTTCATGTGGAATTTTGGGCTAGCCTGGGTTATATGACACTATCTCAAAAGAAAAAAGAAAACCAAGTGTTGGGCCAGCAAGATGGCTGTGGGTAAAGTGCTTTGCAGCTCAGTCTGACCACCTGAGTTCAATCGCAGACACCTCAGGAGAAGGAAAGAACAGAAAACAGACTCCTGGAAACTGCCCTCTGCTCTCCACGTGTGCACACGCACACGCACACGCACACGCTACAGTAGTAATTGTAAAATAAATAGCCCTGAGGCATTTACAGTAGGCCCACAGTAGAAGGAGAGAACAGACTCACACAGTTCTCTGACCTCTGCACACACCCTTGAACACAAAGACACCCGGTGGTGCATACCTTTAATCTCAGAAGGAGTCTGAGGCCAGCCTAAACTATATACATGAGTACTAGGCTAGCTAGCCTGAGCTACATTGTGAGAGTCTCAAAACAAAAAACAAAAAACAAAGCTACCTTGGGCTAGATAGCAAAACCCTGTCTGAAAAGTCCAATAAGAAGGATGGAGGCGAGAGCCACCCAGGAGCTCAGTTCCTGACTTAGAACACTTTGGAAGGTCTAATAACTTCAGATAATATCTCTAAAGGGTCTGGACCAGATTCTGGTCTCAGGGAAGCAGCTGCTTTCAAAAGCAGAGGGGGAGGAGACACGTGTGGATGACCATGTCAATCAGGTTGAATCCTGAGAGCTGAGCCACACTGGGGTCAGCTGAAATGCAGACAGCCTAGTGCAGGGCCCAGGGAGGACAAGGGGGTCTTTGGAGAAGACAGGACTGGCCATGGGAACTTGCCCAGGAGGCAGCAGCTATGTGAGGGAAGGGAGCTCTGAAGAGATCATTATGGTTGCACTAAACAGGCTAAAACCAGTCAGAGCACGATGCCCCTTGCCTACGATTCCAGCCCTTGAGGCTTGCACAAGAGGACTGAAGTCTGAGGGCAGCCTGAGCTGCACAGTGAAGGCCAGGCCATTCCGGGCTAAGCATCTAGACCCCATGTTAACAAAGTAGAGAAAGTAAGTATGTATCAAAGGCCAAAGAAGGGTAGAGTCGTCAGTAGCCTTCAAGTGTGTTTTTAAAACTTCTCAGTCTGGAGAGATGGCTCAGAGGATCCAAGCTCACCTCTAAGTCCATCTCCAGGGTATCTGGCCTCTGTGGACGGATGGACACACACACACACACACACACACACGGCAGGCAGGCAAGCAAGCAGGTAGGTATGATGGGGACACACACACCAATCACACAGGGAAAAAAATAATTTGGCCACAGTAAAAAAAAAAAAAAAAACCACCCAAAATACCAACAACGGTAGAAAATGAAAAGTCCCAGCAGAAATGATGTCACTAAGGAAGCAGAGGTTGCAGGCTGGGGAGATGACTCAGTGGGCAAAGGGCAAGCCAGCAAGTGTGAGGACCCGAGCACTCAAGGTGCTCCCTAAGAGGTGGAGACAGGAGAATGCTGGGATTTTTGTGGGCTAGCTTAGCTGTCATCTGCAGCAGCCAGCAGGAAACTGTCTCAATACTTGAGATTATCTGACTACACAGGCCGACCATGAGACACAAATCTCGGGATTCACACACATACATGCCCACACGGACACACACATGCACGTTGATAACATGCTTGCTGCACAAGTGTGAGGACCTGAGTCTGATCCCTAGATCCCACGTGATAAGCCAAGTGCAGGGGTGTGTCCCTGCAATGATGGGGGGTTCCCTGAGGCTCGGTGGTGACACTGCCACAAGGGTGTAAAGAGGACCCCTGACTTTGGGTTCTGGCCTCCACGTGCACAAGCATGCACGTGCACAAGCATGCACGTGTACACACACAAGAAAGAGATTTCTGCTTCAACTGGGAGCAAACATCCTGTGAGAAAAGGAGGCCACCTGGAGAGAGGTCAAAGGTCATCCATGCACCCTGTGAGCCAGATGAGCAGTTTCATAGCCGTTCTGAAGGCCAGCCCGTTTCCCCCCCAACCCCCCGAGACAAGTGTATACACAGTTGAGGACAAAATGCATAGACTGCAGCTAAAGCTACAGGACGTTCCACGAATATTCCTGACATTACCGAGGCCTGCAGGGAGTCCTAGAGGACACAGGGCCAGCCTGACAGCCCAGTCCTGCCTCCCAGTCTATGAACTGAGGATAGTGCTCTGGAGAGCTCTCTCCTCCAAGGGACTCTGCTGGTCCAGAACACCATGTACTGGCCGGGGAGATATCTGTACCCAGGATCTGAGTTCTACCTGCTGTCCACACAGCCCCAGGCAGAGCCTGTCCATACATCTGGGTTGTAAGATCCAGAATCCCAGACAGGAACTGTTCCCTCTGCTGTGACTATCGTTTCTACTGTATAGTTCAGATGGTGCCATGGTTCAAGTTCAGACCTTGCTAAATGAATGATGAACATTGGAACAGTGTATGCCTCTTATGCTAATAAGTTACTGACTGCCATTCCATTCTCTTGCTAGGCAGTGTTAATACTCAATTTGGGGTTCTCTAAAATAGTCTGTAGAGGGGCTGGAGAAAGATGGCTCAGTGCTCAAAGCACTTGCTGCTCTTGCTCTGTTCAGTTTCTGGCACTCTGAGTGGCTCACAACTGCCTAGTCCTGGTCCAGGGGCCCGATGCCCCCTGCTGGCCTAAGCAGGTACTGAATGTGCATGGCATATGTATATGTGTGTGTCTGTGTGTGTGTGTAAAAGCAAAATAGTCCATATATACAACAATGATTTCTTTTATCAGAGTGGTTCTTATACACCTCAAATTTGCTGTTCGGTCAGGACTGGCCTTAAACTTCTGGTCCTGCCTCTGCCTTCGTACTGGGATTATAAGCCCACATATATGAAATTATATGACACCACATATATTTTTGGGGTGTGTGTGTGAAGGAGCAGGAGATGGAACCCAGGGTTTCATGTATGTTAGGCAAGACTTCCACCACATCCTCAGCCCTAATAATGGCTGTCTTTAAATATATATTTATTTACTTTATGGGTATGAATGTTTCGCCTGCAAGTATGTATGTGTGCTAAGAAGCCATTGGATCCCCTGGAATTAGAGTTACAAATTGTTGTGTGCCATTATGTGGGTGCTAGGAACCAAACCCAGCCCTCTGCCATGCTACAAGCACTCCTTAACCTCTCAGCCACTTCTCCAGTCACTAAGGAAGGTCTTTTAAAAACGGATTATTGTGTATGTATGTGGAGTGCAGGGTGTACCACAGCATACACGGGGAGGTCAGAGGACAACTTTTTGCAGTCGGTTCTCTCCTTCCACTGGGATTCTGGGAATCAA